AAAGTCTGCTCAGATATAATCGCTCTGAAACCCGATGTTGTATTCACAGAGAAGGGAGTCTCCGATCTGGCTCAACATTACTTGGTCAAGGTAGATATAAAACTCTAGTAATTCCTTAGATACGTCCATTTTAAAACATATCTTGAAAAATACAGGACCTAAAACGTAGCCTTATCATGAGGTGGAAATTAGTGAACTTTAAAATAAGAACCAAGCAAGTAGACTAAAATGTGTCTGCCTAAAACTGAACTAAACAATGTATTCTATAAACCATTTAGGCCTACTAAAGTAATTATTATCCACCTTGTCATACAAATTTAAAGATACTTTAGTCGCCTTTACCAATCATTCAAAGATTCTGATTAAAAGTTTGGAAATTTTGAAAAATTGGTGAAAACAGGTTAAATTTGTATTTTTCTAGCCTAATGATTAGCATGTTAGGCTTAAACATAGCAGTTACTTTAAATTGCTAACAGTGTTGTAAATTTTCCTTTTAATAACATTACAAGAGATCCTGTTGAATTTGTTTCGTCCCCTTGGGGACCCGGTGTAAACTCTCTTCCTCTACACTTGACAAAGTCCCAGAGGACTAAATATTGCATGTTTTATGTGTCTTGTGTTTTCTATGGCCTAACCTGTAATTCTTCTAAAGTGAACTTGCTGTTATCTTCTTTATTCTACAATTCAAAATCCTGGCCAACCCTTTCCTTGAATCTTTTTACACCAATCAATAAGACTATTATTTCTCATTTTTTGAAGTCATAGAGTACTGAAAATGCTAATTTAATGTGTTTTATGACTGTTGTAGGCAAACATCTCAGCAGTTCGTAGAGTCCGTAAGTCAGACAACAACAGGTTGGCGCGAGCGTGTGGTGCGACAATCGTCAACCGAACTGAGGAGCTCAGGGAGGAAGATGTCGGCACCAAAGCTGGATTGTTTGAAATCAAAAAGGTATTCAATATCAGTTTACCTACCAGCACACTTTGTTTGAATTCAAACTTATTGAAGTTAAAATATTAGTAATTTCTTATTTGATATTAAATTACTAATTTTCAACATATTTCATTAATTATATTTATAATTGTTAGGTCATAGGTTTCACATATATTTCTTATAGAATATCTTGGCTGTTTCTTCAGAGGTGCAATTATTCCTTTAGAGGATTCCCTTTTTAGTCACACGTGCATCCAGCATCGAAGATGGAAGTTCGGTGTAACAAAACTCAGTAGCAATATGCAATAGTAACAAAGAAAACAACATTTGTTTCCAGCTTGGTGACGAGTACTTCTGCTTCGTCACAGAGTGCCAGGACCCAAAGGCTTGCACCATCTTGTTGAGAGGCGCGAGTAAGGACATGCTGAACGAGACGGAGCGCAACCTGCAGGATGCACTCCACGTGGCACGCAACATCATGCTGGAGCCCAAACTGGTGCCCGGCGGCGGGGCTGTGGAGATGGCTGTGTCCAAGGTATCACTTGTCAGCCAAAAACTCAAATATGCTCGAGTGACATTTTATGATCATATACAAAGCTAGCAAAACCTCAACCGATTGTTAAACCTCTTAACATATTAATACTAAAGTACATGTGTTTTATGCCAGTATTAAAAAAATATACATTACCTAGGAACAATACCTACATTTGCTTTGACCTTCTGCATTTGTTGTTAACAAAAATCTTATAACATTAACTATTCTATTGATAATTAGCGAAAGCATACCGAATATTGAGAAAGAAAATAATGTTTTTTACAAAAAAAATATATTACCAAAAAATAATAGATATTATAAAGATTGTTGTAGACATACAGGCAATTGTATATATATATTACAGGCTCTGCTAGAGAAGGGCAAGACTGTGGAGGGAGTGGCGCAGTGGCCGTACCGCACTGTGGCGCATGCCTTGGAAGTGATACCTCGCACACTAGCGCAGAACTGTGGCGCAAACACCATCCGCACCCTCACGGCCCTCCGTGCTAAACATGCCACTGGTAGGCTCACTGGCTAAAATACCTTTTAAGCTCTCTGTCTCTGTAAATGATATTCATAAATGCAAATGAATCCATAAACAAGCTATAGTTAACAATTCAAAACTACAAAGAACATTTCTAATCTCACAGTATACTAGATATTTAAACTATAATCACTTTGGCGTTTGAAAAGATATTTTTGGTCGATAAATAAATATTCAGCGAGTTTGAAATCCTCAAAGATGGCCGCTAGCCTCCAAGAACTCTTAAAGTGATGGAAAATATGCCCTACAAAGTTTTCAGAATCAGATATCTAATCACAATACATCAAATATGATTTTGTCGTGGATTTGATAGTATTCATCTTGCAGGGAAACCCATTCCACAGGGAATAAGCTTTGAATTATTTCAACTGTGATAAAAAATAGTCCATGAATGTTGCAGTCAAACTCGATTCTAATCCTTGACTATACTTGTGTTACTGTGGTTCTTGTTACCTTGCTTATCCTTAACTGTTGTCTGGTCAGGTGGTACAACCTGGGGCATCAACGGAGAGACAGGAGCCATTGTTGACATGAAGGAACTGGGCATCTGGGAGCCTCTGTCTGTCAAGCTGCAGGTCTACAAAACTGCTGTTGAGGTCAGTGCTATGCAATTATAACAGTCAAATTTCAGGAGTAATAACTTAATGAACCACTTTATTAAAATTAGAAAAAATCTTGAATTGTGGTTACAAAGGTTTGATTTGGAATAGAATAGTATTGTTATATTTTTATCCATCTTTTTTGGGCGGTAACATACTAAATCTAACTTTATTGAGAATGTCCTTAAAAGGCAGTTGGCAAGGATTGGTATGAATGAACAGGCCCGGTTTTAGGATGAATATCACCCTGTGCTGCCAACAGCTTTGGCACCCCCTGTTCCAGGAAAATGTTTGACATGAAAGAAGCTAAAAACAAGTTTTTACGCTGTTTTGAGGTTAAACAGATTAATATTTGTGTTTTTTTGTAGCAGAGTAATCTAAAAAACAATGTAAAAATGTGTTTTTTGGAATTGGGTACCTCTAAAAACTTTGCGCTCTGGGCTATAGTCCAGTCAGCACATATACAAAGTGGGTCCGTGAATACTGAATAATTTAAACAAAATGTGTGCAGTGTCTTAAAAACAATTGGATCTATGTAGATATTGAGCATTTGCCCTTTTATTTTGCAATTACAGTGCAAATGTACAAAGCATCAAAAACTTCAAAATTGAATTATTTTAAATATAACTTGTTTGTATTTCACAGACTGCCATTTTGCTGTTGAGAATCGATGACATTGTCTCTGGCTCAAAGAAGAAAGACAGAGACGGAGCTCCTCAACAATCCGCTCAGCCCACAGAAGAATCAATGAAAGAGTGAAAATCAATTTTGCATCTCTGTTGGAACAATTTTGTAACTGATTATTTATGTTTCTTTTTTATACGATTAACAGAACGGTGCTTTATTAATTTTACCTCTTTCAAATGGCATTTAGTTAACATTAATGTTAAGTTGTTTCTGCCGGTCAGTTCCAGATCTCTTGTTCTTTGTTTGCTATATAACCTTTTTTTTACTTTAAGCACAATCTAATATTTCTAATGTGATGATGGTTGGAAGGCTGATCAAATTTTGTAACAGTGTATTGTACTAAAAGTATTAAAAACTACGCTGTAAGTGCCTAATAGGTGTTTTTATTACCTTTTATCATTTTTGTTGTTCTTTTTTAAATTATTTAATGGTAAATAATACTACCAAGGGATGGCCTAGTAGGTTAAAAATCCAGACAATCGCCAAAGTATTCTAGCTGAGGAAAGGCCTAACCTGATAGTTCAGAACATACCTGTAGCCACAAATCCACCTATCTGGAAAAGGTGCTCTCTCATTTGGAAAACTCCCTTCACTAAAAGTAATAGCTACGTAAAATAATACAACCTAATTTAAAATTTACCGAGTCCAAATAAAATAAACGGTATCAGCATTCTGACACATACTTTCTCCCATACGTTTGTCATCAACCTTTATCTTGTGTAAGCGGTGAGAGTAAATATACGAAAATGGGATTTGTACAGTTTTGTTAAGAATTTAAAGGACTATAACATACAAAAGTTTTATCAAAATCGTTTTGGGCCATTTTTGGGAAATTCCGATTTTTCCCGTTATTTTATGGGATTTTTATGGGTAAATAACATAATTTACAATAACTTTTGAACCATAATTTTTACAGAAACGGGATTTGTACCATTTTGTTCAGAATTTAAAGGGCTACAACATACTAAATTTTTATCAAAATCGTATGGGCCATTTTTGGGAAAATCCAATTTTTGCGTTATTTTATGGGGTTTCATAAGAAAATCCCCATTAAAAATCAAAATTTCTAAAAAAAAAACTATCAAAATTGTAAGGACCATAACATACTATGTTAAATCATAACCGGGTTTATTCTAAAATCCTATTTTTTGTTTTTTTATGGGGTTTTTGTGGGAAAATAACATAATTTACAATAACTTTTGAACTGTAATTTTTACAAAAATGGGATTTATACCATTTTGTTAAGAATTTAAAGGGCTACAACATAGGTACTAAATTTTTATCAAAATCGTTCGGGCCATTTTTGAAAAAATCCTCTTTTTCCGGTTTTTTTTTTATTAAAATCAAAATTTCAAAAAAATGAATAAAAACGCCTGGAGATACCATGGATTAGAACCTACATACCAAATTTCATCGAAATTGAACCACAGGTGTAGTCCCTAGCTCTGTACACATCCAGACACACGCACACACACACACACACACACACACACACACAGACATCACTTTGAAAACCACTTTTTTGGGTCCAGTGGGACCCAAAACGAATATATCCACTCAAACTTGAAAATTTTGACGAAAACAATATTTTCTCCATATACTATGGTATAGGGGGAGAAAGTAAAAACATTACTTCATCTCAACACAAACACTGATGCAACAATGCCTCGATTATTCCTCTAGGTAAAATTTGGCAAGAAGTTAAAATCACAATCCGAAACATGTATTTGTACAAAACTTTTACACATGGTCTATACAATTATTGTCTTGTTGGCGCAATGTCGGAAGCATTGTTTGACTGAGATGGGTTTAGTGCGTGGGTCACATTTCTGGGAAGGACATTGAATAGTCCTCTTCTTGAAGCCGATGCCGCAAGTGACGGAACATTGACTCCATGGAAGCACTTTCCACTTGTCTGGCTCGTAGCGTACCTTAGAGTTCTTGAACTGCATCACCTCAAACTTCTTTGGTCTGTCTATGTTCACCAGGTTCTCAAACGGCCTGTGGGAATAGTAAATATAACTTGTTAATAGCTTTAATTTTACATCAACATTTATGTTGAGTAGTGCAATGTCAGAGCCATTTTTATGTTGGTTGAAGGGAAAAGAAGTGAATTCTGGTCTTGAAATTTTCTAACATTTACCTAACCTTTTGTTGAATATCCAATCCATTAGCCCAATGACATATGGCTGAATTTAGTAAAGATCTAGAATCAAACTATTTCAATGATTCGCAAGAGAGTTGTATTTATTTTATATTTTCATATCTGTTATAAATATAACTGTTGTACTCATACAATATACTGTAGGTAAATACAAGTTTGGGATGGTGTTTGATTTTGCGTAATGGTAAGAACAAATAGGTAAACAAGTTAAAAAATAAAGTAACTAAAAAAATATTGTCAATGGCAAATTTTTGTTTGAATTGCAAGTGCTATCAACTTTTAATGTAAAATCACTAACTTTCACTTGACTTTTAACAGAGTGATATTGCTCTCCTCTTGGTTTGATGTTATTATTAGCAGTAGCAATGATGTGCTTATAATTACTGCTATGATCCAGCGGGTTGAGTTATGGAACAAGAAAAACTATAAGTTTGTAGATCCTCACCCTATGGTAGCCAGGAGGGAGGGGGGAAGACAAGGGGGGATGTCTGGACAAGGCTCCTGGTCATGAGGTCGTAACTGTCCCGTACAGTCAGAGTCTGGCAGAGCTAACGGCTTCTCCCCACTGCCTGACACACAGATCACAGACCTACAACAGTTCAATAAAACTGAACCAACAGTTGCTTCATCCTGCACCAACAAGTTATGAACGTAGTGGTTCTATTTTAAATGGAGATGCATTTTTTTTATCATAAAATTAGAAAGTCTTTTGATATAGTATATTGTTGCTGTGGCTGCTCTATGCTAAGTGCTGACGTTTGTTATGTGCTTTTTGTTGGTGGATTCGCAATGACAGCGCTAATTTTAATACTCCACTGCAGACAAAGTACAAGAAATACTATTCGCTTGGCCCTACTGCTAGATAGTACTGAGTGTAGGAACTAATACTAAGAAGTCAGCGATAGCACTGCCCCAAGTGGCGCCATTGCGAAACGTTTGTTACTCTCTAGACTGCCCTTGTACATATACAGTATTTACATATATACAAGATTTAATGATGCCAAGATTGTATTGATGCCTAAAGCATTTCTGACTTGATATTGCAAAGCAGTGTATTTATAATTTCATGTTGGTTATTGGAACAAAAAAAATCATAAATTCATTCTCTGGATAGTCAAACCACAACACAATACACTATTGCAACCAACTAACTTAGTTATTTGTTTATTAAAGATAGCTGGGTTATAAAAGAATATCAAATCCAAAACACATGAAGCATGTTACCTGCGACGTAAAGCAAGCTCTCCGCAAGTCACGGGACAAAGCTGCCAGGGACCAATCCACCATCTGTAAACCATTGTCTGTTTACACATTGTAAAACAACACAAGAACTCTATTACAATACCAGAAGTCCTAAAAGCCATCTCTATTTTCAGTCCAACAGTTTTGAATATTTATCATCGTATAAATTTATCGAGAGTAAGAACCCGATAATTCAAGAAAAATGTTATGATGGTAGTAAAATACTTTTGAGTCCAGAGCCAACTATATAAGATGAAATCCTTTCCGTACTGAAATCTTTTTATTAACATACGCAGATTAGATTTTAACAGCTAGTAGTAAGAACATTGACTAAGTCAAAGATAGAACAAATTTGAATATAACATTGGTAGCGACGTTTCTAATGTCTTAACTACTACAATTATATTTGTTTCACCAACCTAAGAAGTGTGGTTGATTGAATGAACAACCTCATCATCTAACCTTACTTCTGTCACATTTACTGAAGAATGTAATAAGTTGAAATTACATTTTCAAGAATACCACACGCCAACTTAATGGACATAATGGAGTCCAATAAAATTCAGAGGTTAAAATTGAGAAAGGACATTGAATATGAAGTTCATTATCAATTGAGATGGGGACACCACTAATGTGCGTATGTGAGTGGAGAAAGAAGTGAGATGATCTGTGTAGCTTTGTTACTGACTCAAGATTAGCTGTTTCATTAGCCAGGATCCTTTATTTAAAGCTCTAAGATCAGGAACAGCTGGGTACAGTTTTGAATCATCAAAAACGATGACTTTTCTCAGGATAATCAGTCAACCTTTTGATTGTAATGTGAGCACTATAACCACTCAGCTACCCACCTCAACAAAGAAGAGTTTTCATTCCAGTTGAACTGTGATAGCTGTTCAACCTGGATCACATAAAATGCTGACAGCTATCATTATTTGTGCATATGTGATGTTTCAGACACAATACCTGGTGGGACAAGAGTGCAAGTTGCAGGTTCGCATTCTGTCCGAAGGTCTCAGGCCTGAAGCACATTTCTCTGCGGCCACGGACATATCCTTGCCTGTCTCCTTGCAGACAGCCTTAGACACTTGCTCTCCTCCGCCACAAGTTGCGGAACAAGTTGACCAATCAGACAACTCCCAACGGTACACATCCGTGTGTTCCTGCTGCTCATTGGGCATCGTAAACTCAAAATATAGACCTGGGTTCTGGTCCCTGAATATCACCTGGAAGGAATGATAAAGGGTTCAGGAGGATTAATACAGCTCAAGTGCAAATAAATGTTTCAAACATTTTTTATTCAACATCGTTGGAAGAGGAATCCCTCCACTTTTTTTCATCATTGGCACAACAATCACAGTATACAAAATATTGATGACTGCCGTAAGTACCTAGAAGTTCAGCAAACATTCATCTAAGCCTAAAGGCAGCTGTTTTAAGTAATTGTTCATAACACAACATAACCAACTTTAGTAAACCAGATACTGACTTTTTTACCAGAACTGGTGTTTTTTACTTGAAAGATCTCAGACAATTTCTTTCTTCTCTACACTATCAGATAATATATTTTAGAGATCTAAAAAAAATGAACAATATAGAGTTTTGTACCACTGAAAATTTTTAATTGTTTAAAACGATATTCCGATAATCCCATTGTTGACCTCCAGTATCTTACGTAATTTTTGTTTGCCAAATTTGTTATGGAAACAAAATTGCACATGAAATACCTTGCTTGGCTTGAAACTTACATAAATCAAAATATCTTCTTTGATAGGACCAGGTATTCGCAGCTTCTCCAAATCTTTGTTGCGTTCATAAAGAGCTGCACTACCAGCTATAGTGTACTCTCCTGCTATGGTGATCTCCCTAACAAACAAAGAAAGTTGTTTGTTAAAACAAGAGTTTAGTTTTGGAAAACGTACATTTACAGAATACCATAAGTATAATCACCCAGCCTTTTTATGGAAATTATAATAATTAAAACCCTTTAAACATTTTATATAATATATCTTAGAAAAAAGTTTTATTTAATATTTAAATAACGCTATTTTAATTCTTTTTGCAAGATTAAAACTGCAAAACTTTGAAGTTTAATAACACAGCTTTTATCTATATGGGATCTCACCCGTTTCCATTAAGATAGAAGGTACTGCCTGAAGCACTTCCGATGGAAATGTAGTTCCGAGAACTTGAAACTTCTTCCACCCGGACATTTCGGGCTCCGCTAGGAATTATGGCTACTTCTGTGTAACCTGAAAATATCAGAGTAACATCAACCTATTGACCAGTTCTTCTTGTAGTATCTATTTAATGATACGCTGCATTCAAAGAATTTATCAAGATGAACACATTTATTTTAAGTTCTGTACTATACTGTGAACTATTAGCAAATCAAATCCTTCTAATATTATAAGTGAGAAAGTTTGGATGTATGGATGGACGGATGTTTGTGACAAGTAAACGCAAAAAAATACTAAACCGACATGGTTGAAATTTGGTATGATGATAGCTCACATTCCCGATTAACATTTTCTTATTTCAAATATCATTTTGGGCTCCGCCCCAGTCATAGGGTTAACATGGGAACTACAGAGCCACTGGGGCGGAGACCAAAAGGATTTTTGAGATTAGAATAGGCCTATATGTTAATCAGGAATGTGAGCTATCATCATGCTAAATTTCAGCCCAATCCGTCCAGTAGTTAATGCGTAGTTGACCTTCAAACAAAAACAAAAAACACTTCACATTTATAATATTAAGTATGAAAGTGTGATAAAATTGTTTGATTCTTTAAGAATCACTTTGAATAGTAATAAGCAATCTATTGTACAAATAAAATAATTATGAATTTGGGATTTTCACTAACTTGAAAACAAATCTAGCCAACTGACAACTTACCATCTCCTTGGGTGACATTGTAGAAACCGTTCTGAGTTGAGCAGAGTTTCCCGTCGCCATGACACACTCCACATTTGTCTTCCTCTGCGTTAGAATCAACCACCCAATCACAGCCTACTTTCTGTAAAAGAAACTACTTTTACATCCTTATACATTGAGTGTAACAACTTGAGCTACAATAAAGTGATACAGTTCAATCAGCTGTGTGAAGATGAAAACTGCACTAACTAATTTACACCAAAACATCTGGTAACTGGAGATAAAATTAGTTCAACACTAAAATCTGGTGGGAGCCATGATGGAAAGCGAGTTCTGCTGGAAACTGATAGGAAGCTGGATCGGCAGGGTCATAGAACGTAAAATTGAAGAACTGGAAACGTTTAGAACCTATCTGTCCATAAAGTAATACACAGAGAGGCGATCCCGAGGATTAAAGGCAAGATGAAAAGGGGTTGTTTTAGTTGGTCTACAGAAGGGAGGTCGGAAGGCATTCCCATATACCCTTAGGGTGAGGACCCCCTTAGCCATCTGCTTACAGATTTTTCCCCCTTCTCATCTTTGACTGTCACTGTCACCATTACTCTAAAGAGGCCCACACCATAAGGTTACACAACCATCACTCGTTTTTTTTTTTTTTATGTGTGCTTAGCTTAGTAATACAGTAGCTGTAATGGCTACATTAAGTAGTGTACTATCATATGATCCAGCATATATGTGTTATTTGGCACAGCTGATTTTGTGCACACTGATCTTCAATGTTTTTGTTGTGATGTTTCCAGAGCAGTCATTGGACAAATGAAAAGGTTATGTTGCCTGTTGACTAACAGATCATCAGACACTAACAGGCTAAAGTTGCGTTTACACCAGAGATAGGAACAGGTGTTTACAACAAATTGTCCTAAAAACCCAAGTAACACAACAGAAACTTTGATTTCCCACCAAAATCAAAGGGTGTTCCAAACATAAGGAATCATTTGTTTTGGAACAAATGTTTCTGTACTTCTTTGCTGCTTACAACCCTTACCCACTACCCCTCGTGCCTACCCACCACCACGTGACCATCTCAATGCTATCTTGAGAGGAACTGACCTCGTGTTTTCAGGAACGATGAATAAATTGTTTCAAACAAAATCAAAGAAAAGTGCAATATATGTTGTAAACTTTTGTTTTAGAAAAAAATGCTGCCAACAAAAGTTCCAAAATCCGGTGTGAAACCGGCTTAAATTATTATAATATATAAACGATCTGATGATAGCAGAATTGCCGAATAATATGTTAATGAAGCTTGGACCATCAGGTGACATCAGGTAATATTTTTCATTCAAATTTTTTCAAGTAGTGTTATAAAGCCATGGCTCAAGATATTTATAATCTAGTAAATTATAGACAGTGAATTCAAAATGAAATAAGTTTGACCAACTACCAATTTCACACTTCTAAGTCTTATATATTGTTTAAGTTTGACTAAGTAATCACCACCATAGTGGAATCTTTAGAAATTCTAAGTGTCATCCAGACCCAAATGTTTTTAATAATATTAAGTTCAAAAGAATGACTGAATTTTACCCGACAGATGCCTGAGATGCACATGTCCCGAGAGCCGAGATTGCAAGGCGTCCCATCACGAGCATCACCAAGACTTGCGATGATCGTATCCTCAGTGTCAGTACAGTGCAACTCGCACGGCTCGCCTATGGGACAAAAGGTTGGTAAGTAATGCTATAGACTAACCAACACAAGTATACTCCTCATCCTATTCTAAAATCTTAAGCTTGTTTTTCATGTGTTGTTTTTCAAAAACACGCCCCAGAGGCATCTTACGGAACTAAACATTAAAACTGTCTTCAGCTAATCTCTGAGGATGACAAATATACTAAGGGAGTAAATAAGGATTTGTCAACAACATATGATTTCTTAATTAACACACATGGTTTATGTTATTGTTTTTTAATGTTTATGTTAGTGTTTATATATTTTTCATTCAGTTAAAATGGTTGAATAAAATAGGTTGTACATTCTCTTGTATCATGTTTATTATATAATTTAAGGACTTGATAGGAGTATTTTAATCTATGGTAATACAATGTGCTAAATACATAATTTCCATAAAAGAGTGCTAAATAGTGTTTTAGATTGAATTATTAAGAATGGCAAGTAGGATGTAAATTTGCATTAGCACATTTCCCTACCACCATCGCTTATATTATTGTTCAGTCATCTCCAAAATTCCTGTTAGATCTTTTGTGTGAGTACCTAGGGGAAGATTAACGAGGGAGGTTTTCTGTCTCTCTACTCACACCACTCCCTGACATAATCTGAGGTTTTACAAATAATTGAATAGTTAATAAGAACTGTGATTTGTAATGGATGTTGATTTGTGAGAGTCTTGTAAATTGTACTACACAGTAAAACCTTACTAACTTGACTATTTGTGGACTCGGGGGTTGTTGAGTTTGTTGGTTGTCGAGTTATTCAGAACACTGAAATTTGTAATGGGTTTTAGTAAATAAATTCATAACAAACTATTTTTTACATATAAATTTATTACCTTCATGAGTATTATCACAGGTCTATTTTTGAAGTAGTAAACAATCTTAAAAAATGTTGAATATTAAATGTTTAAAACTAAATTAGATCCAAAGTTCTGGAAAAATTGCAGATTTTTGTGTGCCCCCGTGCACCAGCGATGACTGTCGAGTTAGTGAGGTTCTACCGTGCACACATTAATTTTTTTTAGTAGTGAGGTAGCATCTCAATTAAGTAGACTATCCATCTTTGGAGATAAAACTTACCAAGTCAATACATTTCTGCCAAATGCGGAGAACTTGTTGACTCTTAATCAAACTTAAAAATGTTTTAATCTACAGTATAATAAATTAAATTGGTATATCGTAATCAAAATTATTGACCTGATGAAAACAATTTTCTCCTGATCAAAAAGTAACTTCGAAGCAGATGGATTTCTTCCCACAAACAAGGAATTTTACTAAAATAGAAAATTTTGTTTAGAATAAGAATAAAATCATATCTGACAAGCCCCCATAAATTAATTGTTGATGTGAAAATAACAAAAGTATGCCTACATCAATGTTACTTTCAGCTGTGTTCTATGTTAGTTATTAATAATGAGTTTCTTTCATACTTGTTTCAAAGTATGGAAGCCATGTGTAGTTTTTTCCAAAATATGGTTTGTTATCAAAAGATGAACACTGCTCAGCTCGGAAACTCAGGGACGATTCTGGACAAGCCTGAAATGGAGAAATAAAATTAATGTACATTGATATTGATGCCTACTATGATACATTTACAATACTAAGAATTCATAGTACAATTACCATACAAAATTCATTATGACTTAGCAGCCAAACTACATAGTTAGTGGAAGCTTACAAAAATAAACTGCTGGTATATACCTCCTTAACAAACTCCTTATTTATATTACTAATGAGATTATCATTATTTAACTACATCCAATGTTTTTGTTTTTATCAGTAAATACCCCCACACAGCAAACCTGCAGACTAAGTGAATTTTAATCCGTCTGATTGGATTTTTACTCAAATATTATGATAAACAAGTCATCTATTTATTTGTATAAGAACCTTGATTTCTAATAGTAACATATAAGTACTGACCTGCGTGTTACAGATGCGATATCGTCTCCGTTCTCCAAGACAGTAGGATCCTCCGAACGCTGGTGTTGGATGATCACACAGCCTCTCTCTCACGGAGACACCAGCGCCACAGGAGCGAGAACACTCACTCCACTCCCCCCACTCTCCCCACCCTCCGGCGATGGGCTCGGAGCTCTCTCCGATAGACACACACGCTTGGTTCACACACCACTACACAAAGATGTATGGGTCAGCGTAGAGTCATTTATTTATATATACAAAAATTTAAGCCACTTTAATTGAAAGTTTAATGATCAATGGCGTTTGTGTCTGGAAACAATCTTTCTCAAGATTAAACCAGTAACCTTCAAGCTTTAAGGTAAGCACTTTAACCAATCGGGAACACAGACAAAAATATTAAGTAGTTTTATTACTATTTTTTTAAATTAAAGATTTCTCTAATATATTAAATGTACCTACCGTTTAAAAATTTGAAAGGTAAGTTATGACTTTATACAGTATTTGGATTGAACACCACACAATTTTTGCTTGCTTGATTCTATTGAGATTGAAACCAATGATCTCAATAAACATTTATTCATTACCCTCAACTATACATGTGCTTACTTTTACAAAGTCCACTCTTTAAGAATAATTTTAAACAGTTTTTTCTCAGAAGCTCTGAGATTTTTTTGGACACTCCTCTACTATCTTGGATTACAATTACGAGTTAATAATAGTATTGTTTCTAACATAAATACCATATGTTTGTCACAATGTGTCCCTGGTGCGGCTGGATACAGGTTTGTTGTACACATCCCTTCCACTGTGCACCACAGCCGAGAACATATCTGCAAATTTAAAGTGACATTTTTGACAAACATTACAATAGACAAACCCGTAAGATATATTTATGTTCATTAGATACTAATCATGGCACTACTTATATAAATTATTTAATTGATTACCCTTATGGAAAAGGATCTATAATTTCATAACAAAACAGTTACAATACAAATTAAGATTGGACCATATTGGTCGTTCAGCATACCTCGTCTGAGGGAGAGCACACAGTACTGTCGGGGCCGAACTGCAGACGACACTGATAGTCAGCGTTGTACATCGCCCCCGGAGGCAGCTCGGGGTACGTGTAGTCGTCCTGCACTGCGGGGCGATCCTCCAGACATCGGCCGGAGCCCTGGCTACAACAGGTCTGTCTTAGAGGGTTAAACTGCATTATCTTTACATAGCTTGAAATAGGCTAACTGAATATGACCTATAACACTGGTTTATAATTTGTGAAATTAACAATTTCGTACTAGAGTGAAAATTTAAAACGCGCGTTTTCAGGAAAGCACTTTGCAATTTTTTTCCCTTTTTTCAAAACTTTTATTATTTTTTTATTTTATTAACATTTGAAGTTTCATAAAATGTCCCTGGTAACGCAATCTCTTTGGTAGTTTTTTTTTTTTTTTTTTTAATATAGCTTCTTTAGTGGAAAAACACAAAATCCTATCACGACCATAATAGACTTTTAAATGAATATTAAAAATAGTTAATATTATTTTTATAGCTATGTTTTGCTATAAATTAATTTACTTTTATGGCCATTATACAATAAAAAGGTCACTAAGCTTTTGGTATATTTGGTCTTTCTATAAAAAAAATAAAAAACTCAAAAAATTGACAAAAAGCCAATAAAATCTTTTTAAGTTTGTATAACTCTGAAAAAACTTACCTGAGACCCGAAAAATCCTCATGTTTGCTTTTGTGTATAAAACATTAAAATATGATGATATTTTAATTTTTGAAATTTTTATGACCGAAATCATAAACGTGATGGTCAGGGACAAGCGGTACGGTCGTGAATTGTCTGGAATAATCTAAATCTTTCTAAACAATCCTTCAATTATACTCTTAGTTATAATAAAAATATGTGTTTCAATTGAACTAAACTGTTCAATTTACAATGATATTTAAGTTATTGTCACGACCAAACACAGTATAATCCATAAGGCTGGATTGGTCGTGAAAAAACCCGCGATGGTCGTGAAACTTTGGTCGTGAAATTACGTGTTATTTGGCTCTGTTCTGGCGGTAGCCCTGCACCTCATGTTTGAGGATACAAAGTGGACTTCTAGGTTAATCTAGCAATTGAAATATCTTATAAACAAAAATTAACACCATGTCTACTTCATCGAATGACTAAGTACGGTCATGGACACACCAAAATTACAAAAAACACAATCTTTCCTTTACTAATCTTGTAATTCCTTCTTTCAACTCGAAAGACGTACATCCCGAACTAGTCTCTTAAACCAACTGACTCCATCGACGCCAGGCTTGCCACTGTCGTGCTCCAAAGTTGAAAATTTTTCCCAAATGGTCGTGACGCCAAATCGAGGGACAGACTTATTTTGTCATAGTAGTCAGTTGGCAATGACAATAAAATTTTAATATGCTCCTTTTTTGTAAGTTTAATAACTATTGATTACATAAAAATATGGCTTTATATATTTCGGCATGAATAATTAGTCTAAAAATAGCGTGAAAGTTGAAAAATGTACCCTAGGGACACGTCATGGTCGTGAATTTTGAGACTTTAAAAATACAAAAAAAATAGGCCTACCTAGAATCTATTTAAAACCAAATAAATTAGTGTAACATGTTTCCCCTGTCCCAAAAAATATTAAAACACATAATAATAAACTACAAATCCAGTATCTACGAAGTAAAAGGCCAGGGACATGAAAACGTACGTTTTTTTTTAAATTTTCACTCACTATACTGGAACACTGACTTATTATAAAACAGTTACCTTGCTGTCATTTCTGTGTTTGTCATTAAAGTGTTTTGTAGACACCCTCAACAATAAGAATAAGAATAAAAAAAACTTAGATATTTCCAATAGTTCAGAGGTAGTTGATATAGCCATTGCCCTAATAATTTTTCCAGCATACATACATACAAATCTTAGCCGTATATAAGAAAATTACAAAATGAAGTTTTTAGACCATCAATAAAAAATTAATAGTAATTCTGAAAAATTTCAAAATATGTAGCTTGTTTAAAAATTTCATTGAGTTTTTTTCTGGGACATAACTGACTCGAGGAAGTGAGTGATGTCTCGTCGGCTACACTCTGACCAGGCGATGTTGAGGGAGTCAGCTTCGAATGTGGGAGTCATTACGTGCAGAGTCGAACCTTGGCGGCCGGAGCAACCAGACCTCGAGGAGTCATGGAACATGCCGAAACTGAAACACCATCATGAAGTGGTCCTCAGTAAAACTGTTTTTGGATCAAACCTAATTAAAAAGCTATAAAAAGGTACCAATAAAGAATGCAGATAAAAGAATCTAAAAACTATCAATCTGATTACCAGTTACCAAGACTGTTTTAAAATAGTTCAGGGGGGCCACTTACATCTATAGTATGAAGTATTATGATTTTTTTACCTAGTTCTCTAGTGAAGCTTTCAGTTATTATTGTCTTGTAAGAAAGCCTCATCTAGATATCTCAGTCTTACACTCAGTTCTGTGACTGAGTACAGTAGTTCCTCTGGTTGAGAGCGGTTTCCGTTTTGCATAAATTACTCGTGAAAATAAGGTTAACAGATGAATCACAAAATAGGGAAATAGTCTTATTGTTTGAATGAGAATAAAAACTTTAAACTGGTGTTTGTTTACATAGTTTTTGCATTTTGCTGTAAATTGTACTACTGTGTCAATAGACAGAGTCTAGCATCAGTGTACGCAATAAACCGACAACATGATCAGTACCATGTCTAAATATTGTGATATTACCTAACAGTGCTTTGTGGACTTTAGTTTAATACTAACGATAAGTAAGTTTAAATGACTTAAGGATAAGTAGGCTATTCTTGTAATTAAGTGTTACAGTACAGGTTTAGTAACTAGAACAAACAATTATTTTTGAACGATCAATGGTCTTTGAACAAGCTGGATAGCTGAATGGATATAGAGCTTGCCTACTAATCAGAATACAGCTGGTTATAATCCTGAGTCAAAATATTTGTTTAATGTTCCAAAACTAGACCCAAGTGACATTGATCATTGGGATTTTAATAAATGATCCTGGAAAAGGAACCAGCTGATCTTATATAGTCAACGATTAATATAAAAAGCAGCGATCTCATATTTTTACATGTTCCTTTACTCATCTTTACATCAAAATACGCATTATGTGTTTATGTATTAACGTAATCTAACCAAGCAGTCCTAGACACATACTTGTGGCCCATCTCATGTGCGATGGTGTGTGCCAGAGTGATGCCATTGTCCTCGTTGATGTTACAGCTGCGATCAGGTTCACACATTCCCCCAACGTGCGCAACCCCCAGCGTGCTACACGGCGTGTTCTGGCGTGCACAAATGTCCTTCCTAGACAATAAATACTTATGTCCAAAAAAATATTGGAATAAACATCTCCTTCAGGAGTACGTCTTCCATGGTCACTTATAACTACAATATCGTGGCCTTTGGTGTAAACTGTCTCTTATTACAAATAATTTTGCTTGTTGTTTTGGCTTCCTTGCAGAGGGCCATATTCCAATCTGTACACTTTTATTGCTCATTCATAAATCTTTTATTGATATAAGAGATTTAATGATCGATAAGATCAAATTTATTGATGTAAGATTTGAGATTATGGTAGGGGCTAACGTGAAATACTTTGCCGTGACTTGTAAACAGTTTAGCGAGGTTTCAAACAAATTGAGCACTATGAATCAATTGCTTCCAGTACTAGGCAGGGGGGCATCCCTGCCAATGTATGGGGCAAGCAAATTTTTGGACATGTACCGGTAGCTATAAATTAGAACGAAAAATCGCTGCTCTTACACAACAAAACAAGAATTTACAAATAATACAAAAACATACAATAGGCCTACATAGAATACAAAAAAAAAATAGTTATAACCAATACAAGTTGAGAATGAATAGTTAGGTTCCTCATTGTCTTGTGATGAGGAACCATTCAAATCTAGAAGACATACTGGAGAACAAAAACAAACAATACATTAATATGCCGTGTATGAAAATGAAGCATAAATAATGGCAAATTTGTATTAAAGATTTAAAATCTACGAAATAAACGTCTTTTAAGCCGGGTTTGACTGGAAGAGGAGCGCAGAGGGTGGAGAACGGAGGGCAGAAAAGCGATTAACATGGTGTTCCGCCCCGCTTCTAGGAAAATAGTAACAGTAAATTACCTAAGACAAGAGGAGTCCGCTTCCCGCGTTCCTCTCTCCGCGCCTAGGAAAACCCAGCTTAAATGTTGCTTTATCATTTAGACAGTAACACACTTTGTGTATGTATGCTAAGATGATTAGAAGAGGGTGAGAGTAGAATAGAATGTAGGAAGACTGTTGAAGCAGGTGGTCTGCGTAGTTTTATCAATGAGTATGATTAGAATTTTTTTAAATCTTGGACTTTTTCATTATATTGTAATACTAGCAGAGTACCCGTCCTTCGTACGGGGTTGGCATATAAGTTTAAAATGCTTATTGCAGTTATGCGTTTGTAATGGGGGAGGAGAAAGTTTGATAAAATTTGCTTCTTTAAATTTACGGTATACTATGGTACTACACATCTACTATAGCCATTTGTTCTACCACTTCACCTAAAAAGTAATAAAAATAAATTATTTAAAATTCTCAAAAAATCACAAATTATTCATGACATTAAAAACATAAACATAACTGTAAACAATCCTACTCTGACAGTTCTCATTACATAAATGCAAAAAAATATAGTGCTGCACCCTGTTGGTAAATCTTATAACTTTAATGCTTTTGAATATCACAGAACCAACTTTTTTAGTTGAAACAGCTGACTAAATTCTTTAATTCCCTTTAAATATGAATACTCATAAGGTTAACATGGGGAACTACAGAGCCACTGGGGCGGAGCCCGAAAGGAATTTTGAGATAAGAATATGCCTACGGTATATGTTAATCGGGAATGTGAGCTATCATGATGCCAAATTTCAGCCCAATCCGTCCAGTGGTTTATGCGTGATTGAACTTCAAACAAACAAACAAACAAACACACAAACTTTCACATTTATAATATTAGTAAGATGGGAGATTTAGCTAAATAAAATAATCAAGTAAAGAAGCTGCACCTAGGTAAATGCTGTATGAACATTCTTATCTAATTAATACAGTGGACTAATTGAACTACCTGATGTTTACAGTGTTAGAACTTGTTAGAACTGTTAGAAGTGATTTGGAACCTACTAAAAAAAGGGATTTATTATGCTAGAAAATTAAATCAAATAAATAAAATATGATACCTGGTTACAAGGATAGCGACATCATGATGCTGCGGATCAGATTCTGATGTCGGGTTGATTTTCTGCTGCCAGCTACAGAAGCTGTTGAGAGCATGATCAGCATGTATTGTAATGTTCAGTCCCTAAACAAAGAGTTGGACTAGAATTAGTTGGAAATTATTTTGTTATTGCTAGTTTAAAAACACAGAAAGACATAGATTTTCGGTGTTTTTTTTACAGTCTAGGATGAGCGAGATACTTACTTAGTATCTAGATTGTATTACAGTATCAAGTATAAAATTTCAAAACCCTAAAAATGGTGTAGGTAGCTCTAGGAAAAACTCTGAATCGCGGAAACTCCATCTTTATTGGTTTTGGTTTTAACTAACAAAAATAATTAAAATATCAATTTGTGATTGCGAATAAAGAAGGTAATGGTTGGATCACAATCTAGGCAACATAAGTTAACTAGAGAGTTTGTATAAGGACTACCTCAGAAGCATCGTCTTCTATCAGGACTATCCTGACCACAACAATGTTGACTGAGTTGCCAATAGTTGGTTCTTGATACAATGCTGATACCTGCAACATAAAAATACTTCATTGCCATCAAAGCAGCCTACATAATCCAGCAAAAATATTTATGATTATAAGATTCAGATGTGGGAAGAATTTGGAAGAGATGGGAGTAGCCTAGTTTATAAGATCAGAACAGGCATTTGCTAATCCTTGATTAAGAGAATAAGAGAATTTAGCTACATGTAAAGGCTCCACTCTTCAAATAAATTCATGGGTATAAGCTCTATGTCATTACTGTAAATGGTTCTTGGATTTATTTTTACGGTGAAAGTTCACCTTTCTGTAAAAAAAGGAACAATCAGAGTGGTTGTAAGTCCTGTGGCAGATAAGGCTTCCATATTGGGGTTTGAATCTTTTTGAACTGAGGCTTGGTCTTAGAGGGCTGGGCCAAACCTTGGTTCCAGTTCATGGTTATGTCACCAAGTCTAAATTCCCTACAGGTAAAGTAAAAACATTTCTTACCTTCCAAATCAATTGCTTTGCCATCCAACATGTATAATTTACATACACTATTGCAACCACTAAAACACTAACCATTATATAGATACAGTATAGCTACCATGTTCATGATGGTAAGCAGATACATCTCGACGTCACCGTCGTGGTGAAACTCTACCATGGAGGTGTCAGCGACCAGTAGGGCCTCCACATGGTGCTCCTTGGAGACAGAGCGGCGCTGGCGCAGTCTTCGACGCCGACCACGACCCTGTACCTGCACTCGACCCACACCTGACACTGCCGACCACTCCAGCCGCGCGGCCGGCAGTCGTGGAGGCTCTGCAATAAAAAATAAACATCTATTCTGTATACTCAATGTTCTTTTAGAATGCTAGCCTGTTAGATAAAAACTTAGAAATACATTTGGCCATTGACTTTTATACAGTAAGTTTGCAGAAATTATTACCAAGTTAAAGTTGTAAGTTAATTGATTATATACCCCAAGGATTTTTGTTACTGATTGATATTGATGGCATGTGTGGGTACAGGATGTTTCTGAATTGTTTGGACATATTTTCTGGACTTGTTCCTTGGGCTAAGACAAAAATAAAATACCATATTAGTATAGTCTAAAATGTCTAGATTTCTGTCTGTCGGTCCTTTTATGATTTTTATTAATTATTTTATATCTTGGACATGTTTTGATACAGAAATTTCAAAATTGGTATAAATGTGTAGGTAAAAAGAGCTCACAAAGTTACTACCGGTAAGTTTCATTTCAATATCTCAAGCAGTTTCAATATGGCGGCCATTTAAACTCTTTAATGCCAAACTTCATGAAAACCGTAAATTTTAAGATAATTGTTCTTCAGATCAAAAAGATAAAGAATTTAAATCCAAATCAAATGAGACCTTGTTTGTTAAAATCGGATGACAAACAACCGAGTTATCAGTTTTTTCTACATTCGACTACTAGGTACTGCTCTGTAAAATCTATTAATTTGCGTAACTGAATGTAGAAAAAAAACTGATAACTCGGTTGTTTGTAATCCGATTTGAACAAACAAGGTCTTATTTGATTTGGACTTAAATTCTCTATATTTTTTATCTGAATAACAATTTTCTTAATATTTACGTTTTTCATTAAATTTGGCATTAAATATTTTAAATGGCCGCCATATTGAATCGGCTTGAGATATTGGAACAAAACTTTGTAAGCTTTTCCTACCTACTAAAATACACATTTATACCAATTTTGAAATTTCTATCTCAAAAAATTCCCAAGATTTCAAATAGTTGTTAAAATCACAAACAGACAGACAAACAGAAATCTAGGCATTTTATGTTTGTCTTATAGCCCAAGGAACAAGTCAACTAATTAAGTATGTCCAGACAATTTGGAAACACCCTGGTATACCCAAAAATCTGTAGTTTGACTAAAAACTACTCTCATAAATTTATTTAAACTGACCCCTTGTCCCACAGTTTTTCTCGTGTTTTTTCTTCCTCTTTTTCTTCCTCCGTTTCCGGTGGCGAGTAGCAGTGTTCCGCCGGAACAGTATGTGTTGCCGCCCCTCTGTGGTGTTGCCAGAGGTCGAAGGCTCAAGCCAGTACTCAGCTGTCTCTAGCCTAAGCACTCCTGCCTGCCAAAGAGGAATACTAGTTTATCATTACTTATTACTGAATAGCTATTTAATCTTCATTCCCCCCTATACATGATACATAGAGAAAGTATTGTTTTGGTTGATAGAAGATGAAAATATATCAACCTGATAGTACAACTATCCACCACTGTGACGTAGTGTTGCGCTGCTCGTGCTGGAGCATGGCCTGTGTTAACCATCAGTCACAGTTTCATTCAATTAATTGAGCAGTGAATGATATCTCATAAGAAAGAGAGACTGTGTAATAGCAGGAAGCAAATCTAAGGAAATGTTATCGATTGTGTGTAAAATATGTATGCACATTAAAGCCCCCCCCCCTACATGTTGTTTGAATGACCTCCGTCAATCTAGTCCCAAAAAATCAATATACTTTTATTTTATTGGCTATTTAGGAATTAAAGCATCATCAAATATTCTCATAGATTAGTTGTTATTATAATCTATGTAAATTATATAGGCTGACAGCTTCTAAGAGTTGAATGTTTATAACTATTTTTTCAACTTGAATACCAAGAAATGTCTTCTAATACATTATAGAACCACCGGAACCGAACTGGTTGATTTGCATTAGTGAATCATATGCACACGCTGGCACCACAGTACACAGCATATCCGAGGTCATCTATATAATTTAAGCTCCAATGTAATAAAACTGTCACAACTAATAAGCAGAGTTAGCAAAGTAGGAATCCTATTAGGAAAACTGGTTTTGAGGAAGTAAAATATTGTACAACTTGAAAAGGAAGGATCCATTTCATGGAATTTAAAAGTTGTTTGCCTATTTAACTGCACAAAACAAGATGGAAAGGGGTGTCTTTAAAATGTTAAACTCGTATGAGCCTATCTGTTATTTTGGCGTTTAACACAAAATATTTAAACATTTTCTAGAGAGACAGAGGTATATCAAAGTTATTTATCAGCACTATAACGTCTCAATACAGCAAAATGGAGGGTAACAGATTTTGTTTTACAACTAACAAAACACTTCAAACAAAACTTCTTTTTTTTGTGATACTATGCTAGTTTACAATGTTGCATACGACTGTGATAGAGAAGTGTATTTTTCTGAGGTAGTGCGTGTTGCCAATAACGTTTTTAGGGCTACAAGTCCACAATACAAAAATGTTAGTGAAAACCCTGCCGCTGGATTTCGATATGTATATTACAGACAGACAGACTGCCAAAAGGACAGACAAACAAACAGACATAGGTCGTATTAGAGTACATAGGATCATTATGCATTCTAGTGATCTGGATGGCTATATAAGAATTTATTCATTTTTGTCACGTTTGAAAAATTGGATACACAGCAGCAATCCCTCAAGAAAGGCTTCGTCTTATTAGTAGAAATAATAAAAAAAAAAAAAAACTATTCCCAAAGGAAGGGTTTGTGAAAACAACTACCTAACTAATCATTGGCTGTACGGTATAGCTAAGGAATCACAAATCAAATAATTTAATCTTCGTTAGAAATTACTATCATAATTCTGACTTAGTTAGCTGTCGGTGAATCAAGCAGAAATAATCTACATTTACAATTTATTTTGCTGATGGTGGTCTTGAGAAATTCCATTTTTTAATTTTTTTACGACGTAAGTTTGTTATACTGACACACATAACCGGTCGCTGTGACACCTGTAGCCTCACGAGGCACGAGCCGCGGTCCACAGGATAAATAATGAGAGGTTGATTAAGTTATTGGCAAGCATCGTAAACTAGTCAGCCTCGCGCGTCGCCTTTAGCTGACCAGCTGAACAGCTGATCTGATGTACGACCGCCGCGCCACACACTGGCAGGCTGAATTATAGCATGTAGCCTTGTAGTTCTACACAATATGATGTTGTGATATTACCATGGCAAACATACTCCCTTGTGTTGGTTAGTCTATGCTATTACCTACTAATTCCGACTATCAAATTATTACTATACAGAATTACCTTAAAAGCATAATTTCATTTTGGAGCTATAAAGCTCCTGAGGAATTTTATAATCTAACAAGAGGACGTTCAAACATATAAAGTGAGGCACTAAGCATAGACAAAAATAATTAAATATAGACCCACAGCAGTGATGCGCTTGGCATGTTCTGGCGTCCACCGCTAGGAACGCCGTGTAGTTACGGCACACGCACTACCTAACTATATGGCGCTCCCAGCGGTGGACGCCAGAACATATGCTAACCGCAGCTCTGCTGTCAGTCTATATATTTCTTGTTGTCTATTCTATAAGGTAGGGTTTTTAAGAACTCACGAGTCCGTTGCACGCCGAGAGAGCCACATTGGAGTGCCGATGATGACGCACTACTCCCCGGTAGTGACAGGTTGTCTTATCCCGAGGGATACGGCGGGATCTGCGTCCTCTCTGGACCCTCAAGACAGGAGAGATGAAGGAGCCACTAGGCTCTAGATCCAGCATCTTCCACTCGCCCGCCATCATCAACCTGCATTCGATAATGTGTTTGCTTCAATAGTTTTATTAACTTTCATGTTGATTGTCCTTGGACTATATAATGACTGATAGATACAATTTGCCTAGTCAAGTAGTCCAAATGTGTAGATGTCAGGATACCTACATGTTTCGCTGGTAATGCAGCATCGACACGGTTACAAAACATTTATACGACATCGCTGTCACAAGCACACAAAAATAAATAAACACGAAACAAACACTTACTACACATTTGGATAAAATGTCATTCTTGATCTTCTTGTTTACTGTGTAAATAATAAGTTTTATCCTGCCTAAAGATTTCACAAACAAATCTAACTCGGTACGGTTCCTACGTCAGTGTTTGGAACTTGTTTTTAGAATAATTTGAAAATCTAAGTGTCGTGGGATAGCGTTAACATTGATGTAGGCCTAAGTGTTTCTCTCATAATTCGAGGTCGACTGTACGGGAAGGCTTTGTGCACTTTAAGTTTTACCACGGATAAAATAGTTACGGTATCCATTTAAATTAAGTAACGAACATATTCGATATTTGAGTATTCTAAAATTAATTTGAATATAGTGTGAGTTTCATACATTTGTGTACATTTTGTTTGTAGAAAAGTACAGCTGAATTGTTTGTCAAACTTAATAATCAATACCCCGACGAGCAAGGGCAATTTTGGATCCGGTTTTACCACTCTTCAAACAGCAACTGATTTTTCTCGTTGTTGAACCAGGTGTCTTCTAAATGAGGTTAGCTAACAACTTTAGCTATCCAGCCATATACTCACATTCACATCCCTCTCTGGGTTTTTGTTTGGTAACACCAGAGTGCTGATGGTAATTATTGTCCCAATATAATATATTGAACTATTCAAAACAGATACATTTACAGTTGAAACGTATTTTTTTGTAATTTATTACACCAAAGCACTAAGCGTGTCTTAGGGTTACTTCCACCTTCGTGAGAGCAGTAATGTGTAATTGGGCATAACTATCGTATATGTTGCTTATAACTACCTATTTTACTTGTATTTTAAAGTCGATAGTTTTTCCCACATAAAGTAAAATGGGTAAGCATTTTTTAGTTAAAATAATAATAAGATTATAATTACATAGCTTAAAAGTAAAAAAAAACAAAAAAAACACAATAACTATCCCAAGAACTCTGGTGTAAACCTTAGATCTATCAAGATGCCACGGCACACACCAACCTGTAATGTAAGGTTTCCGGGAACGACTCTCTCGACGTTGACCTCCTGGTCCTGTGGTGATGGGAGACCTCGGAGCCGAGGAGGTCGCCGGCGGGGCTCACTTTCTGGGGTATCGTCACCTCAAAGTCCGAAACTTCTCCGGAGTATATACCTGCAAACAGGAGAGACTATGATGGTAATAAACTGTACAAAACACATGTTGGGGTTACTGAGAAAGACAAAGGGGATAAATAGGTTGTAAGGTGGGTAAGTCTCGCTGGACTGTTAAAACTTTACATTTAAATTATAACAATTGTATAGAATACATGATAGTTTGGGCATTTGGGATTGAATCGTCTCTATTGCCTGTGGCCAATATTTAATGGTAAGTTCAAGTACTTATCCTATGGGAGAAATAAGCAAAAAGTACCAAACAGAACCAACCAGATAAAACCATGATATAATTTAAGTCATCAGTCAAGAAGGCGTTTCAAATCAGCATAACAAATCAAGTTCCTCAATGTTCTCGTTACAACTCCAATCGCTGTTTGATTTCGCTTTGGTATAAAAATGCTATAAATCCATCCGACATTGGCAGACGCGAGACGTATTAATTTCCGTTTCCACTTGATTTATTGCTCACACCTAGACAATTAAAACGACAATTGGCGGTAGCACTGATGGGCAGATTAGCAGGACACGGAAAAGGAGTAGTAGGTTGTTGGTTGTTAATTAATTATACACAATCCTGAGATCCTGATCATGACGTTGGCATCTCTGTTGGATCCTCTCCAAGGATGACTAGACGGTTATGTGCGACAATGTATGAACTCCAACTTCATCAAATACCTTGGTGTGCTGGGTTACAGGTACTTGTTGATAAAGTCAATTGAGGGGTCATCTTGGAACTTGCTGAAAGTAGGAACATTTGAAGCAAGGATGTATACATTGAGTGCGTTGTTGCAACTGGTGTATGGCGTGAGTGTTTTGGTGTGAATGGAGATGCATACTCTTAGTCGTCCTAAAGATATTTAGATATCGATATATACTCCTTCGTCGGACACAAGGAAGAAGAATGAAACAAACAAAAGACGTTTTCAAATTGGGTGTTGTTTGGGTAATGCTAAGTATCTCCAGCACACGATTAAATTCCCTTTGAATATAAACAGGTAAAGGACCAGCGACGACGCGGCCACCTCAACGTAAAACGTTGGCCACTAAAACAGAGCGCCATTGCAAGCGTGCCCTACACTTTTCTTTGGGCATCTGACGAGATGATGTGGATGTTACTGGTTGAAGCATAGTATCCCTAGCATTTACGTAGATTATTTACTTATTTCAACTTTTATAACTATACCCATTTCAATATTATTTACATCTCACTTTTGAAGGGACTTTTACACTGTGTTTGTAAAATTACTACCTTTCTTGAGGAAATTGTTTTCATTGACACATACAACATGATTGATTAATCACCATTAGCAGAGTTAGTTAAGCCCCTTTACCTATCCGCATAGTGTTTTCTTTGCACAGTAACATAGTGATTGAGATGGTTTGCATGTGGTATGTGGATGTCAGTGAGGAGGTTGAGGATTACAGAGGTCCGTGTCACGACAGACGCCAGTCAAGGATTGCCTCAGCCTCAGTGGCGCGACAAGGACTCCGCCGACCTCGGAGTGGCGGCGCCGGCGTCTACTGGACACTGGACAGTGGGGAAGTGGACCACATAGAGAGTCCGGAGTGGAAAACTAGTTATGTCATATACTATTGACTTTTGTTTACTTCTTCTTCTCTCCTCACTTTTGATTTTTAATCGTAATTCTGGTGTACTTTTATCTTAAAATTTCCTTCACACTCTGAATTCAGTCTATGTCATTGATAGAACTGGTCTAAATTCGAACACATCATACCGCTCCATATTCAATTTTCTGTATTATTTGTTGCTATTAGCTATTAGTTCTAGATCAACAAATCCAAACGTCCCTAAAAACGTCTTTAAATATTTAAAAGTTCAGTTATTCAAAGGGGTTTTTTTAAATTATGCACCCATAGCTGTGAAAATGCAGACTAAGCTATCACAACCTAAAATAAACTATTTACTGTAAAATGACCAGAAATCCCCTAACTGTTACAGGCATATTATAATCATATATACGTATAGCTTTAAGTATAATTTTCCCCCGTCATTTTAGGCGCTTTTGACAGAAATGAATACCAATGAAAGGTACATGATGCCGCATACTATCGATTAATACAAAAATCCTAATCATCGTAATAGAATACTTTGTTATTTATATATTGTATTCATTGGACTTCTATACAATTATAGCAATAAGCTGGTATAATATTTCCAAGACATGTATGAAATGATACAGCAGTAAATTTAACCAAAGATAAATTCAAATAAAGTTGATGGAACGTCATCGATATGGTAGGATGTTGATTCTCTCCACCTTCACTTCATAGCATGTAGGCTAAAGCCTTGTTTTATACATTACTTCAGGCTATGTCTTTAGGGTTGTGGCATTATCACTTAGATAAAATCCATTGGTGATTGGCGGAATTAGAACCTGGGACCTTTGGCACTAGTCCCGTGCACTACCAGTAGACCAGCTTGCTTCCCAAGTACTAGAATCAATTTTATCGAATGGTTGGGACGATTCTAAAAACAATTTAAAACTGACCGCGATTAGTGGAGGCTTATTTAAATGTTAACAAATACTATTAGATTAAAAACTACCATTATTGGTATTTAACAATACCTCACTCGCCCATCCTTCATTCGTATTCGCAATGCGTCTTGGGTGTTGGTGACAAAGGAAACCAATGGGGAATTAAACAATTAAATACTAACCAAGAGCCGTTTTTGCACACTCTTTATTAGGTAAACGTAGAGTTATAGTTTGCAGGACTAGAAAGCTGCCGCACGTCACTCATCGTACAAGGCAAAACATCTCGCCTCCAGTTAGCCTACATTTTATATCTTCCAAGCTACGGTGCATTCTGTACCTTCAAACCTGTAGATGACGGCTGAGAATACCTAGTTTCATCATCTTACGAGTTGTTTCGTAATTCAACAGTACATTTGGAGGTATCTTTTAAGTTCTAGATGTTCTTGCCATTTGGTTGCGTTCAAAATGTCAATGATGATAACATTCGTAAATTTGGTTGGTGGTAAAATTGCGTGTGGTCTTTAGGTAAAACAAATAAACAATTAAACATGTAAAGAAATAAATACAAATTTTAAATTTCACATAAAAATTTATGTTCACAGTGTCTACAGACAACAATGGATAAACGGTAAAGTTCATTGTAGCGTGGTAGTTTTTCTGACTTAACAAAAAATCATAGTTGTTTCTGAACTCAGGTGCCCTAACAGATATGTAGCATGTTAATATTGTTCTATTATATAGTGTTTAGGATATAACTAGACACTCCATTCCAAAATTTAAGTTGTAGCCTCTGATTGCACTATGTAAAAGGCCGATTTGTGTCTAATATGCCAACTTTTGTAAGGATAAGCTAAACTGAAAAAGTACTCATTGTGGCATCTCTCACGTCACATAAACTATTTCAGTACATTAGGTGAGAAAAACAAAATTGAGACTGAATCACATTATGTTTTTGTTGTTCATGCAACTATGCCAAGAAAAATACCACTTTAATGGCTATAGCTGATACATATAGGATATAGATGTTCAATTCAGCATGCAAGCTACTCCTTTGCAACGGTTATTATGGAACCTTCGCTCAACAACTGTCATCTTATTGTTACAATGATTGAGCCATCACAAGTTTAAAAATAGTTGTCAAACTTTAAAACCATTCGTTGAAGCTTATTGCAGTTTTCTGCATTACCATCCAACCCCAAATATATCTATCTTACACCAGCGTCAATTGGCTATAAATTTTGTTGGTATTTCCTGAGATTGTGTTAATCTGGATAAATTGCACATTTCCCAACAAGTAGAAGTGCCAAGACCAGATCATGCTGGTACGTTGGCACTACACGTTTCTCCTACTCCGATTATTTCGTAATATATGGTAATATATTGCCCAGTTTAAAATACTTCGGGATAAAATAAATTTTAAAAATATTTGTGTGCAAAGTGTACCTATTGAACGACCTGCTGTAAGAACATGGTGTGGTAAAGTAAGGTTTCGATCATTATCATTTGGGTTTATTAGAGCATGAGTTTTTTAACATAAATGTACCTGTACAGGATTTAGTATTTTTAAGGATTGCCAACAAGAAGAATAATACCTTTGATTACTATCCAATAGTCAATAATGACACCACTGCCTTTGGGATACTTAAGTATACACCCCCTGTATCTATATACTGTACCAGCTGAAGCCTATTTTGATTGAAAAAGAACCTACTGTAGTTCAATTAGCCTCTTATAGAATGCGCTACAGATTAACATTTTAATTTTCTTCTTTAGTTTTTGTCACTGATATAGTTGATTAAACATGGAAGCTGCTTAGCTCTTAGACGTGACGAATCCATCTAAATCGTCATACCAGTTTTATTTAGTTTAAACAATTTTGTACTTGACATAAATAAATAATCAATACCAATGCATTCTCTAGGTGGCCAAATTCAACTAAAACCATTTTGATTAAACTGGTGACAATTTTTACTTGGGAATAGATCTAGTTATATCAATAGTCTAAGATAACACGTATGCTTAAACATACACACATACATAAACAGTAGTTTATTTTGAGTCCTAGAATATATGAGTCCTAGAAAGTTTTAAGAGAACATAATATGGAAGTGTTCCCTGAAAAAATCAACTTAGGAAGAATTAATGCACATCCCATTGTTAACGGAGTATTCACAGATAAAATGTTTTAGAAACGCATGATGTTGAAGAACTAGTGCGTAAACAAAGTATATATCAATAGTATATATTATCAATCATACATCCATGTGAAAAAACAAAACTGTTTACGCTATTCAAATAATGAATCGAACCTGTTAACAGTGGACAAAATAAACGTCTTGAAAAATTGCCTAGCAAAATATATTCAGTGACAAGGTTCAATTATGTTTCATTCCCAATGTTAAACAAACCAAAACCATTGTCGGCAAAGATGTTTATGGTGTTATGAGTGTATTGTTTCATACAATCATGTTACCGGATATTCGCAGAACACTGGGCAAACCCCAAGGTTTTGAAAATCCGGTGAAGGGGTTCCGCCATGACGTCATTATATCGAGGGCAAAATAAAATGTGACTGTCAAACCAGCATACTTTCTCATTCAGTATAAGTGTTACCCCTTACAATTCATTTCATATAAAGAAATAACTTGATGAATTTATTTAAAAACAAAACTTAAGTCATATAAACAACTGATATACAGCTTAAACCTTTCTTCCAAAGTTTTATTTACTTCTTCTACTCGTGCTTCTTATCAAAGTCGATCTCATATAATATAATGTGAATGTTAACAACGAAAGTATATTTCGTTCAAAATTTAACAGTCAGTAAATGGTAGACGAATTATCACCAGTTGAGATAAGGTGCGTATTTTAAATAAAATATAAGTGAAGGATGAGTGTAGAATCAATTGTGGTGATCTGTGTAGCTTTGTTACTGACTAATATCAGCTGTTTTATTAGCTAGGACTATTTATTTAAAGCCGATCGAAACAGCTGGGTATAGTTTTGAACCTTAAAAAGCTACTCACTTTTCTCAGGTTCGAACCTACAGGGTCTGACTTAGGGGAGGTACGAATGAGGCATTTAGTTCAAAATTCCTCCGCGAACAGCGCTGTAGTAGAGAGCACTTTGTCAATGAAGGTTTACTATTCGCAAAAATAGTTCTGTTCATAAAATAAAATTATAAATTCCTCAAATTCAATTTTATAATTTTTTAATTATAAAATTAAACTATCATAACCTAACCGAACTAACCAAACTTGCTGATAATTAAATAATATAAAAAAGATTAGTAATAGAAAAAATAATTATGTTTATTAAATAAAACTAGAAATTGCTCAATTAAAATTTTATAATGACTTAATAATAAAATTAAACTGTCATAACCGAACCAAACCAACCAAACTTGCTGATAATGAAAAAATCTGAGACAAAAAGTTATTGCAACCAGCGAGATTCGAACCCGGGACCTGTAGCACGCCAGCCCGGCACGCTAACCACTAGACCACCGAAGCCGTTGTTCACAAATCGTATTGTTACGGTAATAGTGTTCCCTCAGCTAATAAGAAGCCCACAGCTGTCATCGTAGCCTCTTCCGTACCTCCCCTGAGTAAATACCGAACCTACAACCTTTGCTAAGTGAGCACTATAACCACTCATCTACCCAGACTATAACCAAGGGAGTATGCTTAATGTATGCCATAACTATAGCTACATGGTTTTAGAGTGTGATTACCTTTGTGTCGGATACTGTCAACAGAGACGACGGTAGCTAGCAGAAGCAGGATCGTAGTCATATCTTGAATATCACAGGTTGAAGACTCCAGGGCTCAACTTTTTGTTCACTATCGAATACACTTTGACACGACACCACTTGTTTAACAAATTATTTGTATCATTAATTATCTTGTGCACTTCATTTCAAACGATCGTTCACTGTCTAGAATATGTTCAATTTGTGAGTTACATATATTTATTCACTTTTACTGCTGAAAGTCATATTTAATACAGTATATTTTTGTTATAATGAAGCAAAAACAGCCGTTTTAATACTAGTGTTGCGAGACTGATGTAGCTTATTTACTTCCTAGGGAGTAAAATCCTTTTAGTCCCTAGGGTGTAAAAAACATTTTTAGTCCCTAGGGAGTAAAAGTCAGCTGTTTTAAACTTTGTAAGCAATCATTCACATATGTCGATTGTTTTAATAGGTTGTAGATTATTGTTGCCTTCTTGTCAATAGTTTGACATATTAGTAGTATGATGAATGAACACCACACTAACATAATCGTAGTAGACGAAATTATTTAATCACTTACTAAACCGAAGAGTCACTTTACGCCCAATTGTTTTGGTGTTTTTCGTTTAAGTTCAATCTGCCATGTTCTACATGTTGTGAAGTGTTCACAACAATAATTACGTTGAATTGTTTGGCAATTTCCACACGTAACATAGACATAATTAGTTATTAATTTTGTAGTATATTATGCTCAGTGGTATTCATCCAACTTTTCAAGTGTGCTTATTAATAAATATATGTTACGTCTCTTTTATTTGGGATTTCGTTTTTATTACGAAAACCATCATGGCGACCATTCCATAAGGCCAAAGTTGAATATCTAAAAGTTTAAGTTTAAATTGTCGTAGGACAGAGCCCTGAAGTCCAATTTGTAGAATTTCAACCTTTGTATAGTTGGTTCCTATGACCATGCAAAATTTCGAGCCAATCGTGTGAATTTTCGCCATTCAGAAAAAGTATTTGTAAGTAAATCAAATCAACAGTCTAGTATGAGAGCTTTTCTCAATTAATTACTTTTTTTATAAACGTAGTGTTTATTCTGAGTAGACACAAAACCTTAAAGTTACTGAATAAGATATTTTTATTCAGTCAGACCCACTTATTGAAAGCTCAATGTTCACGGACAGCTGGGCTTAGTTTCGAACTATCAAAAGCTTCTGACTTTTCTCAGGATCGAACTAGAGACCTTCTGATTGTTACTCGAGCCATATCCAGTATCCACTCACCTGATCTGATGTGTTTACTACTTTGCAACCAAAGTGTAACTTCCCAAATCAATATGGAGAAAGTTTACAGTAAGACCCACTATATCCCGGAGCGAGCGGTAGACTATAGTATATCGTTGGAGGCGTGGCCACCGCGTTATGGTAGTTGATTACAGACCGTCTCCCTCGCGATCGCGGGCGATTTATTTCAATATATTTAATATTATAATGGGCGCAATGATTTACTGGGGCAGGTGCTGCATGACGTCATGACCTGGAATGCAGCCTATCACACAATTAATGGACCCACACCACAGCTGACTGCAAGTTGTCACGTACAAATGAATTTGGTTTTGTTTTAGTGAATTTCCCATTATGGGAAGAAGCTATTACCATAGACTAAGCATACTCCCTTAGGATCCTTTAGGATATTTTTGTTGATCTTTTACGAGATGCTAAGGTGCTTAATCTATGCTATTACTGTAGGTTAGACAGTAAGACGAGTCTCGGGACTTGTTTGCTTTTTCATTTTGATATCCTCAGAGGCTAAAATACTATTCGGTCAAATTTTCATATGTGTGTGTGTGTCCATTGACGAGATAACTCGAGTAATTTTGGTTAGATTTAGATTAAATCGGCGGGAAAATCTTGAATGGGTTTGCGAACCGGTGAGATCTGTCATGAGAAAGAGATGTTATGGAGTTTAAAAAATTCAAATTGCCCTTGAACATGTACATGGCCAATATTAGTAGGTACAAAAACCGTGAAGAGCTAAATAATCAAACAGTTTTTATATTGAAGCATTTTTGTACGATAAAAGGTCACGGAGAAGATTCTTAAGAAAGTGCACAATTAACTTATCTAAAAGAATATCGTGAAGTTATTGATGTTATACGTATAAATCTCCAATTCCATGTGAACCAGGGAATTGTCTCCTTTTTCCATGTAATTGTCATTGGTTTTATAGTCAATGGTTTTATTCAAGAAGTCTGAGATCCGTTATGCCTTCCTGCTTGAGTAGCCGCGCAACCTTCAAGATAGTCTCTCGAGAGATGCAAGATAACAGACGTCTCTTGAGAGAACGGAGAGTGGGAGATCACTGCCTCTGCACGACAGAGGACTTCAATGAAGTGATCCCATCTAGGGAAGTACACATCCAATGGGCGTGGTTGTATTACTACTGCAGCAACTACTATCATTGAAGACCCTAGAGTGTCAATAGGTACAAAACACATCGATTGCTGCTTGAGTTAAAACTCGTATGAAGAGATAGAGTTATATATTCTTATAGAATATTCTATGAAGATAGTATTGTTTTTATTGTAGAATAGTGAAGGATGAATGTTGAATGAATAAGATAACAGTCTTGTTACTGACAAAGATCAGCTGATTTTAGGCACCACATACTAAAATCGGAGTGATCAAGGACAACTAAAACATAGTTTGCTATCGACAGTGATGTTGTATGTTCAGCACAGTTTTAGCTCATGTAGTGAAACAGTGCGAAATATATATGGAAGAGGTTCACATTGAGGGGTGAAATAATATTTTGCATTTAAAAAAACTCAACCACTGGATTTAACCAAGTTGAAAAGCTAGTTTTGAGGACGAGTTTTCAGTATCCGCTTATGAGTCACGGCTGCGGCAAGCGTAGTCAGCTGTTGGTGTGTGTGTGTTTGTGTGTGTGCGTGTGTCCGGTGGTGGTCCAGACCTCTCATTATCGTCGTGATCAGCAAATTACAGCCTCCCGCCAGAACAGGACCTCCTGTAGTCTCCGGACACAACAACTCTCGACCTCTACACTCCCTGAATCCAGTTCCTTTCGGTAGCTCTTATGGAGATTACGAGTCTATTGACCATGTCGATAGTACATTTCACATAATAAAGGGCGAGTTTTTTTATTCTGTGCTAGTATACAAGTTGTAAGAAATCTATTTTAATCCAGAAATTCGGCCAGTGTCTTCGAACCGTAGTTTTGGAGAATTAATACTGTAAATCTTGTGAACATCTAGGTAATACAACATTGTCAGTTATTATTACATGAAATATTCCATATAATTTAATAATGATAATTTATTACTAAGAGTTCAAAAAGGATCGATGCTAATCTGTAACTCGAATAGAATCTAATGAATGACCATGGTCCATGGTTGGTAAGCATATGCTTATATTATGCCTTCTAAATTAAATCGTAACAAATAATAAATCTTCTGGTTATATGGTGATGAAATATAAATTAACTTGATAACATCCGTTACAATATGTCTGTTATGGTAGAACAACAGTGGTGGAAAAAGACAATCATAGTGACATTGATCTCAATAATTGTGACATTTACAACAATTGTCCAACAACAGTAGAGAACAATGGAAATGAATATAAGCGATAATTGTGACAAATGCAACAATTGCCAAACAATAGTGGTGAACAATGGAATTGAATATAAATCAATAGTGACAAATACAACAATAGGTATAACATAACAGTCTAATGAAGCGGAGGCAATAATTATGATATATGGTGGAAAACCTATTGCATGTGATAAGCCTTTAGTCGCATAGTCAAACAATATAGTCACAGCAAATCATAGATAGTTGTAAAAAAACTATTGACAATGATGCATTATAAGTAATAATAATCTAGGATTTTATGCCAGTTTAAGTGATCAATGAATACCGAGCGCCAATAAAATCATATTAAAAGTGATAAATCATTATTCAAAGTAGCTAACAATCCTGATGTAAGGGGTACCTAATAAATTATGATTTCCAATAGCAAAATTTCAGTTGTATGTATTAATGAATTTAGTGGTAGGCACTGGGAATCTAGTGACAGCGGTACATCAATAGAGATATATAGTAACAATTTTAGTGAAGGAATTGGCCTAAATAAAAATTATCATTGACTAAATCAATTACGATTTTCAACTACAATATTTACGATCCATAAAGTAACAAAATAGTGAATGTTATTTTAATTAATTAGTAGTGTTAATCAATCAACATTTTAGCCACGATATTTGGTGATATTCTAGTGACAGATAAGACAATGGCAATAGTGATAGTGACGTGTGGATTGCGTGGTCGCGATCTATCAGACACTCCTGTAGCGATGCTAATGCGGTGATTTAAATAGCATTAATTCAAAATGGCCGCATGGATATTAATTAAACCGCATAAACAAACAGGTATAAATCGAATAATGCACCGTGATGCCCGCGAGCGCCTTGCTACATGGAGGTGATTTACATCAGATCGCATAACTATGGAAAACTGTATCCATCATTCGAAGATAATAGTTATCTATAGTGTTTATTAGATTGTATTAAATTACGGCTCAATTTTTATTCAATTTGGTACAAACGTAAAAACTCACGTTAATTTGAACAAGTTAGCGAGCCAGAATGATCCAGCACGGTAATATAAGAACGGGGTTTTATGGGGTCGAAATGGGATTTTCTCATTTCATGCTCAAAATGTAAAATTGCGTAATTTCTCTCTAAAAAATGTTGTAGAGGTGAAAAATGTTATAAAACACATATTCCTTCTTTGTAGCAGCAAACAGTACTCGTTAAGCATAATGTTTATTTACAGTGAATAGGGAATAAAGCTGACATTAATGACATAATTTAGTAAAAATCTAATAAGGCAAGTTGAAATTCGCTTAGTTTTCTGGTTTGCTACAGAGAGGAGCTTGAACTCTACTCTCTACTTAGCTCTACTAAGTTTTTTTATATATATTCTTTTAAACTGGCTACAACTTTAACATGTGAACGGAATATCTAATTCTATTCATAGTCCACGATTTTACACTCATCTTGCACGCACACTGAGCAATACACTTTCAGGCGGCGGCGTTGCAGTCACAATAATGGTAGGCATACAGTAGTAGCGATGCGAAGAACAAATCTTGGAATTTTCTTGAGCATTCCCCAGATAATATTGGAACAGGTGTAGTAATCCCTTTTTTTCAAAACATATAGTAAAGTATTATATTCAATTCAATATTATTATCTGAATGGTTAACACTTTTCATTCGACTAACTTTAAAGAATAGGTACTCTGGTATTGTTCATTTTCAATTTAA